CTTCCCTCTAGTCTTATACTGCTAAATTAGGGACGGCTATCGCAGTTAGTCCTCGTGTAGCTTTGCGCGAAATTCAAAACAAAAAAATTTATGTTGTTGTTTTTTATCATAAAAGCAACTTACCTATTGTTCCTTTTCAAAGAGATTTTCACCAGAAATTGTAAACAGCAATTTCGCCACATATATCAATTAAATTATTCCGCCACATATTGGAACAGAAGTGTCCAATGTATATCAAGTTACAAAAGCTTTTTTGGATGACGTTGAAGTAGCGTTTTTTCTCTTTAGCATGCTTATTACCCTTGCATTACTCGTGTTTGAAAATAGGGCTGCACATCGAAAGGTCCAATGTTCGAGCAGCAATATACTGCTGAACACACACTCCTCAACTCTAGCTGTGGGGTAGTTATAACCGTTACAGCCAACTCTGTTATTCGGTTAAGAGTAGCTGTGTACGTGATGGTTGAGGATTGGTTATCCTCTCTCCGGTCAGTATTTCTAAATTATGAAATTCTTACCTGAACTTGTGGTTCACATACCTGGTATTTGAGTCCACGTGTCGCTTGCAAGAAGTCGTTTTGTTTGTAAGTACAAATGCCATAAATTTAGGCTTTGTATGTATGTGGGAAAGACTAGCTGCCTTCCCTCTAGTCTTTCACTGCTAAATTAGGGAAAGCTAGAACAGATAACCCTTGTATAGCTTTGCGCGAAATTCAATACAAACCAAACCTACAGTAATTTGAGGTTACATAAAACACAATATTTGAATGGCTTTTATGGTGTATCTATGGTAAGAACAACAAAACTGCGTCAGTGTCTTTGATAACCTGCTGCTGGTATTATCGGCAGGTGGCAGCAGGTTGACTCCAACCACACTGTGTCAGAACTCAGGGGATGTCTTTGATTAGGATTGCCATGCCCAGTATCCAAGAAGCCGCCGTGGTAGTGACGTTTTTCAATATTTAATTACAGAGTAGATATCTAGAGATTTTAAGTAAAGCTGTTGAAAAACCTGGCGACTTTTATTAGAATTGAAAATTAAGTGTCATAAGTAGTGTTAAGTTGTGAATTAAATAAAAAACTTGTAAACTTCGAACAAGTCCCCCTTGCCCCCACTGCGGACGCCCATGGAAATAGTATTAAATTTCTTTTATAATTAGAATGTTAATTCCGACAAATTTTAGAATTTTTTTATAAGTTAGTGATCGAAATGGTACTCTTAAATTTAGTTTATAATTAGAATATTAACTCTGACAAATTTCGGGATTTTGCTATAAATTAGTGATCGAAATTGTATTCTTAAATTTCTTTTATAGTTAGAATATTAACTCTGACAAATTTCGGGATTTTGCTATAGATTAATGATTGAAATTGTACTCCTAAATTTCTTTTATTAAGCAAAATCCCGAAATTTGTCAGAGTTAATACTCTAAGTAAATTAGTGATCGAAGTTGTACTTTTAAATTTCTTTTATAGTTAGAATATTAACTCTGACAAATTTCGGGATTTTGCTATAGATTAGTGATCGAAATTGTACTCTTAAATTTCCTTTATAGTTAGAATATTAACTCTGACAAATTATGAACGTAACCGTTTTATCTATTTTGAAAACCTTATCTCCTTTCTCCGGGTATTAATATCTCTTCTAATAATACACGGTATCCGGACATTATGTCTAGTAAACAATTCTGTTAACGTAATTTCCGGACACTCTATATGTTACAGATTCACGTACACATCCACATATATCTTATTTTACGATACGGATAGATAATGGAAACTTGATATTTACATTAAAAAATACGTATTAACGCATCTTAAATGTATCAGACAACTTGTCACACGGGAAGTGACGTAATGCAAGCTTATTTTTACTTGTAACATCTAATTACTTTCCATACATAGACGTTTCTAATAAACGACACGAAATTCATCTGCATCAGTTCAAATATTTAATTTCCGGTCCCATTACTAAGTTCGCTCTGTATCACATAATTCAAAACTTGTAACGAATAAAACACATTAACACACACAAGGTGTTTTAAATAGCATTATAAGACATCATGGAAAACTCGGTAGTGTTAGTCAGCATACTGTAGTTTGTAGATAGAGTTTGAAAAATGATTTCCATGCATTGTATTAATTTTATCATAGCGCCACCTGCAGATGATTTACTGCATCCAGTTTATTAAACGGTGGGTTAAATTTTCTAAATAGTTTTACGCCACCTTAACTTCATTGTTGGTAAGCGATTTTCAACAGTTTTGTTGCTAAAGTAATCAATTAGTAACTGTAGCTACGAAATGTGAAAAAAAAAAGGTTTACATTTATGAACATCCAAAATAAATGTATCAAAACTAAAAATCACTCCTACTTAATAGAAAATTAAAAATGCATTTAACCGTTTTTATCAAGTTTGACTTATAAATAAGGGTAGTTACACAGATGTGTGAATATATATATATATATGTGTGTGTGTGTACATTCAACAATTTCTTACGTCTTATGTTTTGCTTCTGCAGGATCCTAGTATTTAACTCGTCTATTTAAATCGTAATAAAGCTAATGAAGTTGCTTAAATTAATGCACTTCAGATTTGACAAAATATTTAACAACAACTCTAAACTAAACAACTGTACGTTTTATCATATAAATCCTTCAAAAAACTATGTATTTGTTACTAAATAACTGATAAAAGGTTAATATTTTCAAAATATTTGGAAAATTTCCAGATTAAGTATATTAATTTCAATTTTGGTTAAGAAAGAATATGTTTGCATTTTATCATTATTATATTAAGGGGTGAATTAGCCAGATTGTGCTTCATATTGCATAAAACAAAGTATAGCTTACATTTTCTTTGGAATTATCTATTTCAGTTAACCAGTGATTTGAACAGAAGAATTTAGGTACAAGAAGAGTCTTTTAAACTTTAAACTCACTAATATTTCCACAAGGATATTATGGTTTAATTTACCAGAATGTATGGATCGATTATAATGGTTTAATTTACCAGAATGTATGGATCAATTATTATGGTTTAATTTACCAGAATGTATGGATCAATTATTATGGTTTAATTTACCAGGATCCATACATTCTGGTAAATTAAACCATAATAATTGATCCATACATTAATTATTATGGTTTAATTTACCAGAATTTATGGAGCGATTATTATGGTTTAATTTACCAGAATATATGGATCGATTATTATGGTTTAATTTACCAGAATGTATGGATCGATTATAATGGTTTAATTTACCATAATGTATGGATCGATTATAATGGTTTAATTTACCAGAATGTATGGATAGATTATTATGGTTTACTTTACCAGAATGTATAGATCGCTTATTATGGTTTAATTTACCAGAATGTATGGATCAATTATTATGGTTTAATTTACCAGAATGTATGGATCAATTATTATGGTTTAATTTACCAGAATGTATGGATCGATTATAATGGTTTAATTTACCAGAATGTATGGATCGATTATTATGGTTTAATTTACCAGCATGTATGGATCGATTATAATGGTTTAATTTACCAGAATGTATGGATCGATTATTATGGTTTAAT